AGAGTAATTATTATATATTTATAATAATTACTTTATAGGTCTATTTAAAAAAAAGATAAACACATATAAAAAAATACATTTAGACCCATAAAAAATAATAAAACTATTTTTATTCATGCTTAATTTTTTTTTAATTTTATCTTTTTTATGTCTCTTTATTTCTCTATCTTTTTTTTATAGAGTAAATATTAATAATTATTCTTGAATAATATAAATTTATGGCATGATACTTTGGATTTTTCTAGAATGGACACCACTTAAACCAAAAAATTCAAACAAACAACTAGACCTAACTAGATTTATGATGCCTTAGAAATATCAACACAACTAACAAACATTTAAGCCCTCCCTTGTGTAAAACCTAACATCTTCTAGGTGCAATCATCAATAACAACATATTGGTTTCTCAAACCAATATTCAATTGGTTTTTCTATTCAATCTTTAACAATTTTTGCTTCTTCTTTTTTCTTTTTACTTTTTTTCAAACCTAGAAATAAAGATATGATATTGTTTTTTTTACGTATAATTGGAGATATGGAAAATTTTATGAATAATGAAAATATTAAGAGGACTAATTTTTTTTTTTTTTTTTTTAAAGAAGAGATTAGGAGACATTTGATATGATTTGATGAATTCTCTCAATAATGAAGAAAGCCAAACAATGTCGAAAAAAAGAAGTCTTATTTTGTTTTTGGATTTTTTTTTTTATTATTATTATTAAAGGAAAAATTACATTTTAAAACCATGTGTTTGTGTTGAATTAGTAAATTAAATCTTATATAAATAATTTATGAAATTGAACTCTATGTTCATTTTATTAGGTAGATTCAATTGCCCTTAAATCATAACAAACTTTAAAATAAAAAAATTATTGAAGTGAAAATTGTTAGTCCGGTGGCACATAATTTATCTCCACTTAGTTATAGCGACGAATACCGTACTTAGTTAACGAGTATAGTTAGCGAGTACTCGTAATTAGTTAATAATTAATTGGTTGTTATTCGTTAGTTTGCTTAGCTAACGACATTTAGCTTAGATGTCATTTTGTATAGAGACTCACTTTTCATTTCTTAATGAATTAGTTGGAATATTTCAAATAAAATTTTCTCGTTATGGTGTCAAAGAACTTTTTTGTTTCTTTGTCCTCATCCGAGCCTTTTTCTTTCTCGTTTTCTCAAAAAACAAACACCACCCTCATATGGGTCTCTTAATAGTTTTTCTAATTCTTTTGTAATTTTTTACATCAATCAGTTCCATTTCTTCTATTGATTATTGTTCTATGCATCAATGATAGAGAATCAATTTATAACTACTGTTTCCGGACACTGAATATCAACCTTTAAGTCCATACTTTTTGCACGCTAATGAGAATCCTTCATTAGTACTTGTTTTCTTTGTATTTTCTGATTCTAACTATCATTCATGGTCAAGATCTATGAGAATGGCATTATTATCAAAGAACAACCACAAGTTTATTGATGGCTTTATTTTAGTTCCCGTAACTACCGAACCTCTACATCATAGTTAAGAAAGGTGTAACACAATGGTTTTATCTTGGCTAGTTAATTCAATTTCTCATTCAATTGCATATAGTATTGTTTGGTTAGACACAATAGTTGAAGTTTGGAAAGACCTAAAGGAGAGATTTTCTCATAAGGATTCTTTTAGAATTATAGATTTACAAGATGAGATTTCTTCTTTTCATCAAGGCATTGATTTTGTGACATGGTATTTCACTTAACTTAAGATTCATTAGGAAGAATTGATGAATTTGAGACTAGTACCTACTTGTTCATATGATCCTTGTTGTACTTGTGAGGCTCTTAAAATTGTGAAGACTTATCAAATGAATGATTATGTAATTAGGTTCTTGAAGGGTTTGAATAAGAACTACTCCATTGTTAAGTCCCAAATTATGCTTTTGGATTCATTGCCTAGGATTAATAGGGTGTTCTCTCTCATTCTCTAATAAGAAAGGCAAATATGTTTGGGATTTCTTTCGTCCAATTCATAGACTGGAGTTTCATCAACTTGTTTTCATGAGTAAAAGAGTATCTATTTCTTATCCACGAGAGGAAGCTTCTAGAATTTCAAGATGGATCATCTAATAGAACAACTTATTCTTATTATGCTCTTCAAGGTCATGTCGTTGTTACGTGTTACAAAAAAATTGGTTCCCTCTTAGTTATAAGTTAAAATATAAACCTCCTAAAGTTGATTCTTATTTTGATTCAAATAGCTTTCTTCAAAGAGCTGGTTCTATGAATCAAGTGCAAGTCTGCCAGTTTATCTAAAGAAGCTCATATGTATGGGCCTAGTATTGAAAATCTTGATTTAGCTAATAATTAGAATTTTTCTTCAAGTCCCGATGCTTATGTGACACTCGCCACCTTTCATTCTTTTACATCGGACCAATATACCAAATTACTAGTATTGATTCAATCTCCTAATATCACTCCTCCTATTTATGTAAACTCTCTACGGATTGCATTTTCTTCTACTTATGATATGATAGGTAAATTAGTTTCTTATTGTCATTTCAATCCTATAAATCTTTTATCTACTTGGATATTAGACACTAAGCTACATATCATATAATGTGTTCTCTCAAATTTTTTAGTCAACATTAATCCATTTCTCACATGTTTGTTAAATTATTATCTAGTCAACAAGTTCTCATTACTCATATTAGTACTTTCAAACTTTCATCCTCCTTGGTTTTACTCAATGTTCCGTATGCACCATCCTTTTCCTATAATCTCATTTCGAGTTACCAAGTTAACTTATAACTCATGTTCTTGCTTACTTTTTCAACTTGATTTTTGTGTGATACGGGACTTGAAAAGCTTGAAGATGATCGGTATAACTAAATAATTCCAAGGACTTTATCATCTTTCCACTTCGGATTTCTTCCTATGCATAAACCACTTCGTCTCCTATAATACATATTATTCTTCTTAGTCTTTTGCCATACTTAGCACAACAAGGTTAGGTCATGCTTACGTACTAAGAATAAAAATTCTTCATTCTTTAGATTCTGCCATTAGTAATCGATGATGTCTCTTATTATGAACCTTATCACCTAGCTAAACAAAAACGACTTGTTTTTCCTATAAGTACATATGTCTCGCTCATCCTATTATGAACTTGTTCATATGGATATATGGGGTCCATTTCCTATACCAACTCTATCCGGTCATCATTACTTTCTTATAATAATTGACGATTTCAACAAATGTACATAGGTTATCTTAATGAAATTGAAATCTTAGGCTAAACCTATTATGTAGAATTTTTGCACCTTTGTTCAAACTCAATTTTCCGTCAAGATAAAATGCATTAGAACTAACAATGGTCAAGAATTCAATATGTTTACATTTTATAACTTACATGGAATTATCCATCAAATATCGTGTAGTTCAACTCCTTAACAAAATAGTGTTATTGAAAGAAAGCATCAACATATTTTGAGAGTTGCTAGATCTTTAAGATTTCAATCTCATCTTCCATTGCCTTTTTGGGGAGATTGTGTTTTACATGCTATGTATTTAATTAATCAACTTCCTTCTCCTATTCTTGAAATAAAACACCATTTGAAATCTTATATAAATCTCCACCTATATTTTCTCATCTCAAAGTGTTTGTTTGCCTATGTTTTGCTTCAACTCTCACTCAATCTAGATCTAAATTTGCTCCAAGAGTTATTAAATGTAGTTTTCTTAGTTATCCTTATGGGACTAGAGGATACAAATTATACAATCTTATTACTTATTAGATTTTTATTTCTAGAGATGGTCTTTTCTATGAATATATTCTTCCTATGCAATATGATGCTCCTTCTATTTCTTCCGATATTGTTTTACCTTATACCTTTACTTTAGATTTTCTTTTTGACTTACCATCATTTATTAGTTCTTTCCCTTCTACAGTTTCTTCTTCTACGAATATTCCTAATTTTTCTCCTCATTCTTCTCTTGCTCAACCAATTCATAAATCTTTCGGACTAAAATATACTCCTTCTTATCTTCGAGTCGATGATCACTATTCCATTCCTACTTTTCTTCATACTAACAAATCATCTTTTGACAATTTTTGTTACTCGATCGAGTGTTTTACCACATACACTTAAACATGTCTTTTCCTATTCACATCTTAGTCCTTTTCATTAAACTTTTTCTATTAATATTACCATATTCCTAAACCTAAAACTTATTCGAGGTCGTTAAACATGAGTGTTGGAGACTTGCCATACGGATAAGATAAAGGCTCTTCAGGACAATAATACAAATGAATTGATAAATTTACTTGTAGGTAAGCAATCTATTAGGAGTAAATAGGTTAACAGGATCAAGTATAAATCGATGGCACTATTAAGAGGTTTAAGGCTTGTTTGGTAGCTAAAGGATACAAACATTAGGCTAGCATTGATTATTTAGATGCTTTTACTCTAGTTGTAAAGATGTCTACAATCGAATTCTTCTAGAAGTTGCTTCTATAAAAAATTAGAATTTAGAACATCTCGACATCAATAATGCATTTTTCCATGTAGATCTCAATGAAGAGGTTTATATGTGTCTCCATTCTGGTTTTAAAGCCATAAGTACCACTCAAGTATGCAAACTTGTTAAATCTCTCTATGATTTGAAGCAAGCTAGTAGACAATGGTTTGCTAGATTGTCCGTCGCATTACTCAATCAGATTTTTTTTAAGCTATTATAGATCATTCTTTATTTGTTAAACATTCTAGTTCTTAGTTTATTACTTGTATTAGTTTATGTTGATAACATGATCTTAGCCAATAGTGATATGCGGTAGATCACTCAGCTCAAATCTTTTTTTCATGATCAGTTCAAGATTAAAGATTTGGGTTCTCTTAAATTCTTTCTTGGAATTGAAGTTATAAGGTCTTCTAAAGGTATTAATTTGAGCCAATGAAAGCATACAATTGAGTACATTACGGGATTTATGTGTCATTAATTCTAAACCTACCTCTGCTCCAATGGTTCTAGCTCACAAATTATCTAAAGAGGATAGTCCTGCTCTTTCGATCATAGTGTTTGTCATAGTCTTGTTGGGAAGTTACTTTATTTAATCACCACAAGAATTGACATTGCTTTTGCAATACAACATCTTTCACGATATCTTGATTGTCCTACCGAGAATCATCCGAAAGCTGTTTATGGGGTTTTTTGTTTTATCAAAGCTACATCGAATAAGGTTTGTTCTTTCCTGCAACCAATACTTTATAGCTTCAAAGTTTCTTTGATTCTGATCGAGCAACTTATTTAGACACCAAAAAATTAATAACTAGTTATTGCATGTTTTTGGGTTCTTCTTTTATTTTTAGAAGTCCAAGAAACGTGCTATTGTTTGCAAATCCGAGTTTAGAGGCGAGTATCAAGCTCTTACTCAAGCCACTTGTGAATTACAACGACTTCTTTATCTTTTTTCATGATCTTCAAATCCCACATCCTACATCTATTTTGCTTGTTTTGTGACAATCACTCAACTTTTCATATAGCTGTAAATCCTATGTTTCATGAACGCACAAAGCATATAGAACCCGATTGCCATATTGTCCAATAAAAACTTTAAGCATGCATCATTAAACTTCTTCTAGTTTATTTAACTCATCAATTGGCATATCGCTTCACCAAACCTCTCTATGTTTCTCTCTTTCGTACTTTTATTTCCAAGTTGGGCATTCATAATATGTATGCTCCAACTTGAGGGGGTATCACCACTTATTTATAGCAACAATACCTTTAATTAGGAAGCGATACGATTAGCAATACTTGTAATTAGTTAGTAGTTAGTTGGTTGTTATTAGTTAGTTTGCTTAGTCGTGACGAGTTAGCTTAGCTATCATGTTGTATAAAGACTCATTTTTCATTTCTTAATGAATCGGTTGGAATATTTCAAATACAATTTTCCTGTTACAATTTGAACTAAATTATCCTACCCTAATTTCTTTAAAAAAATCATTTTTAATTTTTTTTAATGACTAAAATTAGTATGGAAAACACACACAACCCTTTAAGAACAACATATCTCATATTGTAATTTTATGTGCGAACAAAGAAAAATTATTTAAAAGAGATTTTATACATGGTTTAAGTATGAAGTCAAGAATATTGATTGTAAGTATTTTGATTGGATTGATAATAAAAAGATCTATCACCGACAAACATGGAACCAAAACATGCCTCTCTAGACCATAAAATATCGATTCAAGAATTCAAGATTGGTCATTGGATGTTTTGTTTTTTTGTTTTCAATTTCCCACCAAAAAATTTTAGAGTTCTTTTATTTCGTTATTATAAATATGTGATGTGGAGGTGGGAGTTGTGATAGAGTCACGTGCGGATATCACATTAGATTTATTCATTTTACTTAAAAAACTATTAAAAATAATTTATATGTATATAGTAAAGGTAAAGCATTTTAGTCAAAATAGTATGTCATGTGACTAATATTTTTCACATCGGCATGTTTTTAAATGTCTATTAAGAACTTACAACGAGTTTGATCTAATTGTTTACATGCAACAAATATAGGTCGAATGTGTGAAATTATTTAAATAGGATTTAATTTGCTAATGTGATATAAACCACATACCTCAAAGTAAGGTTTTTGCATTTTTAAACCAAATTAAAAAAAAAAGGTAGATTTTCTCTTTACGTAATTGTTTTTTCAACTTTCACATACTTAGGAGAGTGTTTACGGACACATGTCATATTTTTAAAGAATCACATACTTATCATATGGGTCAAACTTAACGATAGGATGAAATAGGATGGATGAGATTGTAGATAAAAAAAAGTTGGAGATCTAAATCAAATTTAAAAAAAGGTTAGGGATACAATTCTTGTTGACCGAGTAGTTTAGGATGGTTTTAAACCAATTAGCTTTTAAAATATATCATGAAACTCACCTACTTCACCTACAAACAAACACAATTTCATTGGTTTTATTTTTTTAAAAAAAAATCTTAAGGAGTTAGGCATATAGTTATGGAGGTTTGTTTCTTTTCTTGATTTCTTGGATTCAAACTTTAAAGCTAAAATTCAGAATAATTTATTAAACTTTTTAGATACATTGAGGTATTATAGAGGTGCATTTTTAAGATTGCTCAAAGAAGAAATTTAATTTCAATTAACATGCAAGCTAATCTAAAAATACATCTAAAAAAAAGTTTTTTTTTAAATGACACCTTTCTTTTTTAAAAAAAAATAGGAACGAATATTTCTAGGCAACAAGATTATTACAATGGCGGTTTAATTGCATAATTCCTACCTTTATTCTTTATATTTTCTTAATATGTCTTCTTTATTCATTTTTTTTTTTATCATGAATATCTGATGGGATTCTATATAATTTTTTAGTAACTAGAGACATGTGGCATTTTGCATCACGTGGAATGATACATCATAAAAAATTAACGCTTGGGAAAAAAATTAGAAAATTCAATAAAAATTAGTAAAATAAAACTAGAAAAGAGAAAAACAATTTTTTTATGACGTGTCAATTGTGATCCCCTTTAAAAATTAAATTTTAGGTACGAAAACCATCTCCAACCAACCCTCCAAGTTTTTAGTGTTATTTCTATAGTGACAGTGATTGGCTGGCATGTTATCGATAAGAGAATAACACTTTTGGAGCATTGATTAATACCAAATCTTGCGTAACTTATCCAGGTAACAACTGACAACCATCCCTAAGTGCAAATCCCAGCCGTTGTTTTAACTTGATTTTATCTTCCTTATTCTTGGAATAGAACCTATTCAGATGCTCGCCCTCAAGAAATATCATTTTGATTTGATTTAGATCAAAATTTGATTTTTATTATTTGTAAATAATTAATTATAATTATTTTTGAGTAATACGAATTTTTTAGTTATACGAAACTTAAGTTAGTATGATCTAAAGGAAAGTTGATAGTTAATTAAAAAATTAAATATATTATGAAGTTTGTTTAACAAAAAAAAAAAAAGTCTCAATTAATGTAAAAAACTTATATATATATATGAGTGAGCTGATGCGGGCGCGCATGCACTCATTATTTTTATAAAAAAAAATATTACTACATCTTTATAAATTACATAGGTTATCGATCATATCTTTGTTAAAAAAAAATTCGATAAATTATAAACTTAAGTTTACGCGTAAATCAGTAATATGCCCACATAATAAAGAAATATGTTAAAATTAACTATTGATATTTTATTATGTTTTGACTTAAATACCCTTTGATAAGGTCACTCACGTGACCGACTCCTCCTTTTCTTCTTGTTTTAATTTTACGTTATTTATTTATTATTTACAAAAGATTTGAGCCTCCAATGAGCAGGGACCCAACCCATAGGAACATAGCCTGTAATGAACAAGCAAATATAAGTGGATATATATATATATATATATATATATATATATATATATATATATAAACTTGTAAATCCATGACCTCAAATTCTATTTTTTAGGAAAATGCCCTAAAAGTTACAAATATAACTTTTTTAACGATAATTGTTAACTTGTCTATTGTTAAATTTGCTCTTTTGTTTTCTTTCAACTTCTATATGTTTGATTTTTTTTATTAAAACTAATTAAATAACTTAGATAATTTTATTATATATTATTTTTTTTCTAGTTTTGATATGGATTCAAATTACATAATATATAGGTTGGCTTGAAGATGGGTCTCATACAACACAAAATTTTGGATCATACAAAGATGAATATAAATATTATAATAGAACTAGTGTCTATACTTTATTTTTGAGATACATTAAAAAATAGTTCAATGGGTTCGAACAAAGATTTATTAAAATGTTAATTGTTACTTTTTTTTTTTTAGCTTTTTTAGCATGTTGAATTTAATCTTAAAGAATTCAATTTTTTTTTTCAATTCAAATATGATCGTCCAAATATAGATATTGTAGCATGATCTTAACAACCAAATGCATCTTCTAGATACTTTCTTGCAAAACTCTCCTATTAAGAGAAATTTTATAATACACTCGAAGAATCTAGTGGCATACGTATAGTAGTTATTCCATGGATTTACTTTGAGGAGAGACATATATATAAAAGAGAGAGAGAGAGAGAAACGGGAGAGAAAAAATAAAAAAATTTAAGCAAACATGAAAAATCTTCTTATCACTTTTAATGGTTTTGGATGTAATTTTTTTTTATCTATCTTTTTTCTCAAAATGAACTCATAGAGTAAGCTACTTGTATATACTACTTAGTTACTACTAGTGTATTATAAAATTTCTCCTCCTACTCACATCTGACTCCCTATTAAGCTTCTCCCTTACTAGCGTGCAACACACACACAATTCAACCTAGTTGAAAATTACCTTGTTGCGCAATGAATTTGGATATGAGGATCGTATTTCCTTGATTGTGATTTGTGGATAATCGTAAAAGGTTGATTAGCTAGGCAAAGAACATGTACATATCAAATTCTGCTATTTGAAGACACAATTGAACCTCGCTGAAAATTACCTTGTTGCGCCATGGATTTGGATATAAGGTCTTATTTCCTTGATTACCGGACAAAGAATCATCTTTTGATAGAATAGCAACAGAAATTAGAAATTTTTTAAGTTAGTGGTTAAAGAGCCAGATGAATGGTGTAGTGGCGTTGACAAACAAGTTATTTTAGTTTTTCGTGACAGCGAAGAGACGCAAAAAGGATAGCATGAGGATGGAGGAAGAAACGGAAAAAGTGGATGCAGAAACAGAAAGAACTTTTTTGTGGATCGTGTATATACTTGTAATTTTCTCTTATGCATTGTGGATCTGGACTTTTAAATAGTGGATTTTGGCCTTTTTTAGATTTTTTATTTTTTAATTTTTTGTGGCTAATACACGTTATTAGATATGGTGATTGAATTGACAAGTTCAAAATCTGAGGGCTTAATGAATTTGGTCTGCTTCCTTCTCTCTTTCTATACTTTCACACAAGCAATATCAAACTGAAAAAATCAAGAGCACGATGTCCATACTTTCACTAACCGAAAAGATATATACATGGTGAAAATGACACTAAGTAGTACAGATTGGCAAGAATCTATCTCGCGATTGATTCTAACTCTTTCCGCTGTCGTTATCGAGGACCATCACTTTTTTGGGCAGTTGTCCATTGGAAAATATCGAAGACTTTCTTGATCATTTCTTCTCTTTTAATTTTTAACAAAAATATTTAAACTAATCTATTCTAGACCATTCAAAACTCATCTAACATATTTTTGTTATAGTCCCTTAGAAAGGAAAAGGGGATACTCAAAAATTTGATCCATTGGTCGTACTATGCAGGCATGGGGTGGCCAAGGGATATTTAGATAAAGAAATTTCAGACCTACTTTCATGATAATGATTCCGTGATAGATCATAAATAAGTTTAGCTAATTATCATGCATTGTTATCTATCAAAAAAAGAAAAAGAAAAAAAAAACATGCATTATTGATGTTTCGGACAAATTAGAATATGGGTGATTGGGATATTTAATGAGATTCAATGGCCAGAATTGATAGTTCTTTCAAGTGATTTTAAAGAATATTCAAATCAGTCTTAAAATTTGAAAAGATAGGCTGGTTAGATGATACATCTTACATCTCTTATGGTGTAATCAAGAAGTTAAAAATATAGGCTTAATTTGGTCAATTTTGATGTATTTAAATGTATTTTAATTCTTGATAAAACAATTAACAAAAATAAAGAGTGAAATAATAGTTTGCAACACCTAAATTGAGTAAATTAATGTAAATTATGCTCATAAAAGAAAAGGTAAATACGTATACATCATATCAGAAACTTAAAGTTTTATACAAATTATATGTAATTTGTAAGTAACAAAATATAAGTCCTCTGAATAATAAATAATGATTAGTTTGATGGTCTTTGGTTAGGAAAAAAAAAAAAAAAAGCCAATACATGTATTAGTATGATTTTTTTTTCTTATATTTATTTAGCACGTTTACTAATACAAGCATAGTCCGTGACTATATCATTTGCAATCTAATTAAGCCATTATGTCCTGGGGTGCATGAAAAAAAATACTAATGATAACAAAGGAAATATGATTCAGTTGGCCTGGGGGCCAAATGATTGTGTTTTCTCCATGGTGATCAAGGTTGAATTTCAAGTTGGGATTATATATGGAAAGTAGAATTTTCAAAAATCTCATAATTTCGAGGTGGACAATGTATCTTTAACCAGATAAGAAAAATAGACTTAATCTAGTATTTAAAAGTTTTCTACAATTTGGTTTGGCAGCTTGGCAATCCTGTTACAAGGGAAATCCATTATTGCATGATCCCAGTTTCATTTTTTTTTTTTTGCTCGGCTTGGGGGTAAATTAAATACCAAGTTAACCAAAACAAAACAAACTTGCTGCATATATATGAAAATTAAAATTAAACCATTACATCCAAGATAAATCACAAGAAAAAAATCATCTACATGCCCAATATCGCTGCTTCAACACTTTTCTGCAGAGTTGATGAGATATAGATAGGATTTCTTTTGGAAGGTTTGCGTATAAATGAACTACTCGTTATTATAATCTATATATTAATTAAGTAGACTCAACTGAATTGGGAGAAAGAGAAGTTGTAGCATTTTTTGATGGCATAGACTTTGATCGTTTCATCATCCAAGCAGCCGATGACCTCGAACGATGAAACCTGCACCTAAATGACCCTTGATGTGTTGTCGGCGAGCACAAACATTGGCCTTTCGGCGAGCTTGATGTCACACTCATTCCTTCTCCGTTGCCGCTTTTCGGGGATGTAGTAAGGTTATCGCGTGAAGCCATATCTAGTGGCACTCTAAAAGAGGAGAAAAAGAATCTTAGAAACACAAATTAATTATGGCCAAACTGGCGAAGCTTGCTTTTGCACCTTAATATGTGTGACAATATATAAGGACAGACTATTATCCCACTCACATTGTATGTGAGGTTAGAATAGGCAATCCAATCAAGTGGTGCTCCATGATTCTACTTTATTTGTCATATTGTAACAAGCCAAGCCAAGCCCAAAAAAAAAAAAACAAACCATTTCCTGCATGAAAGCCAAAAAAGGTCATTGGTTCGGTTCTCGAAACACAGTTCCTTCTGTTTCACTTTGGATTTAATTTCTTTTGAGTTAGTTACAAATAAAGATGTCAATTAGCCGGAGATAAAATAGATACTTGTTTGAATATATATATTTTATTAATAAACACAAATTTATTTTGAATTTTTTTAACATACAAAAATCTAATTGTATACACTTTAAAAATTAAAAATCAAAATATTTTTTCTAAAAAATTCAAGGACCAAAAAAACTTGTAAATAAAGGACCAAAATATGATTTTTTTTAAAAAAAAATTATAGAGATTAAAATAAAATATTTTGAAAAATTATTTTTAGCGGCATTAAATGGATACTAAATGGACGAGTAAACGATCTGGATTATGTATGGGTTGGTTAAAGATTTATGGGTTATTTTTTAATGAATAATAGATATATGTTATAAAATAATGAATGCTCATATGAATGTTCATTTACTTTTCATATCCTCATTACTTATTATCCTTAATGTGATTAAATTCACCATTCAATATGAGAAATTAAAAGGGTGATACAATTGATGTGCTTTTAATTATTCATAGTCCTTTCCAATTCTCATCTCAATTTTGAGGCCTATAAATAAGCTTGATTGTTCATTTGTTGATGTACAAGTTTTTAGAGAGATTAAGAGAATAACTTGAAGTTTTTCTCACTTGTATTCACTTTATAGTGAATTTTTCTTCTCGTCATCCTTCTTTTAAATTCTCATATATCTTTTATTTTTCACAACAATATAATATTTTTTTATGAATAAAGTGAAATCTTAAATTAATGGGCTATGTATTGGCCATTATCATCCTTAGTTACAAATTAGTCCTTATATTTTATTAGAATTAATTAATTACTCATTGTATTATAAAATAAGTAAATTCCATTCACCGATGTTGACCATCCTTAATTTTATAATTTTTTATTCCAAAAATACCATCTTTCTCAATAAAATTTTCCCATCACCTACAACTTTTCATTTTTTTCTATTTTTCAAAAAAAAAAAAAAAAAAAACAAAAAACAAAACAAAAGTACATTGAAAAGGAACATGGCATCAATAAAAGGACTAAATTATATGTGGATTTAAAAATGGGTTTACCCCGTAATTGATCTTTATACAGTTTCAATTTTTTTGATCATCAATAGCAACAGAACCTAGAACCCATCCCTCCACTTCGTTGTTGTCTCATCTTGTGAAGAGACATTCAAATTGATCAAAGAGAGATTTCATAGCAAAAATATCCCTTGCTATCAAAGCTTTAGAGGAGATGTCATCCTGCTCCTTAATAATGAGATTGTGAGCATGCAAGTACTTTTATTTAAATCTGATTATTTTTAAACCTAGCATCATGAGCCAAGGAGCGAGCATAATGGATTGAAAGAAATTTACCAAAAAGAATGGACTTTTGAAAATCAAATCTATTGTCACCTGACATAAACACCATGCCTTGTTGATCTTTTATTGTTATCCCTATTCCACATATCTCAACCAATAACGCAGCATTAGTATTTGTTTTCAAAAGACCTATTGGAGGAGGTACCCAAATCGACACCCCTTGATTGCGGGTAAAGGTGAAGGTATATCCTCCTTGTTGTTAGCTTCCTAAAAAAGGTATTACGTGTATATCTTGTGTCATTCTTAGTCGGTATTGCCCAAAAATCAAAATTGAGAAAATGCTTAGCCTTCAAGATCTGATATAGTCGAGAACTAGAGTCCTTAAGCAGTCTCTACCCCTGTTTGGCTAGCATAGCTAAGTTGAAACTATGATCTAATAATAAACATTTTCACAAACACAGTGCCATAATGTTTATCTTCAATTCTCTCGTTGCTGGGTTCTGGGTTTTGTTGCTATTAATAATGATAATGATGATGAAGTGGAAGGAGGGGGTTTAGGTCTTCTTACATTTGTTTTTTTATTTTTATTTTTTGTATTAGTTTATTATTAAAATCAATTTGTAATTTTCTTTTAATTCGGAGAGAAATATTGTATTTTAAGACCCATTTGGTGCACGTATCGTTCAATGATTAGTTATTATAATGATAACGTGCCATGTTAGATGAATAGTTGATAGCATTACAATGGAAAGTCTGAATCAACAAATTTCAAAAAGTAAAAAGTTTTAATCAAGTTGAAAAAAACATAAAGGATTTCAATAAAAAACATTAAAACTATACAATGACCAATTATAGGGTAAACCCATTTAAAAATATAAGAATGAAATAATAGTTTTTAAAATTAAAAGGACTATTAATTTATTACATTAAATTATACAAACTGTGATATAATTAACTCATTTCCTTTTTCCATAATAAAGATTTTTATTTTTCAATTAAGTGGAAGGTTCAACAGACCTCGATTACACTGAAAAAGCCCAGATTCATAAGTCGAGAGAGTTTGATCATGAAAGTTTTCCTGACCTTCTCAAAAGTATCTACTTTAGCCTTAAATATAGAAGTTTTGCTCCCCTCTCCTTTAGAAAGATAAGGTCAAGGATGAAGAAATTGCATCAACTCTTGGGTCTTACAAGTGAGTTGTGATAATGCCTGAGCGAGTTTTGTAACAAGCTTAACGAGATTGCCTATAATAGTAAAAGTATGTTACGGGATATGAAATCCAAACACGTGGTTTCAGTAACTAATTAAATACTTATCTTCGTACATCTAAAATTAATTATGGTTATATGAAGTGACGTAAGATGGCACAAAAATATTAACTCATTGATAATACAAGTTATTTTAACCTCAGTAGAATTGTTTGGTATTATTATGTTATGGTTAGTATTATGTTATATCACATTGTGGAATGAAAGTAGTCTTTATTAATTAATTAGTTATTGTATATTGTGATTATAAACTTAGAAACAGAGGCCGCTTGTCAGCTTGCAATGAGAGGGCCAAATTTCAAAAAGTCATTTTAGTCACTTAATTTATGCATGTTTTCATCTTAGTTTTTTGGAAAATTATTACTAGACCCCCCAAAAATTTCAAATTATTTTTTAAAAACCTAAAAGTCTCATGAGTATTCTAGTTTGTCATCCTCAACAATTTTGTCCACCATTCTCCACTGTGGATAAAGTAGATAATAGCTTTTTGTTAAATTTTATTATTGTTCTCTGAGATATAAAAGGACTAATAGAAATCATAACACCCTAAAAACATATTTTATTTATATATAATAGTTTTTCTTTTTGATGGTCAAGACAATATCATATCATTAATTATACCCAAATAAACTTGATGAAATACAAATAAATGAGTTATAACTTGACATGTTACACGTGTGTATGCATACTTACATATTTTTTTATTAGGGTAATCCTTAAGTTCAACAAACTAAAAAAAAAAAAGATAAAGAAGATGATAATACACACATGATTTCACTAATAAATTGTCAATAAAATTTAAAAAGAAAGCATATTTTTAAATAGAGTTACGCAAAACACTAGCATTCTTTGATATTTGTGTACTTTTAAAAAATTTAAAGGAGAAAGTTATCATTTTAATTAGAACAAATGAATCCCGCATAATTAGTTGTGTGTGCGTGTGTTTTTTTAAGCAAAGGAATACCTTCCTTTGTTTGAAAAACAATCATTTTTTTTAATAAAAAAAGTGACACTAGCTTTGCCTCCAAATCAAAGTTGGTGTTAATCAAATATTGATTTTAGATATAAAAAACAATATTAAAAGCAATTGTTATTCAAAAACACATTAACAATATCAAACAAAATTGAGTTTTTTCTTCTTTCTTTTTTTAGTTTCTATATAAAATCACGGAATAAAAATAATAAAACTAGAAGCTTTTGTGTGTATCCTTCAGGTTACAAAGTGAGGGTAACTCTTTTTTGTTATATTGCAATTTGATGAATTAAAATTATTATAACTTTAACTTGTTTCAGTGAAAAAAAGAAGAAGAAGAGGAAATTGGATAATATCGAAGAAGCCAGAGGGAGATGAAAGGGGTAGTTGCCTCTCCTATTTTTGTTTTTCCAAATATATATGTAATATATAGTAATGACCGCCCCTTTAAAGAAATATATATATATATATATATATATATATATATATATATATATATGGTTATACTTATAAGTTTGAAAAAAATAAAAAATAAATAAAATCCTAATTACATATATATTATAAAGTAATATTTATTTATGAATGTATTAAAAAAATATTGATGATACTTGCAAGCTTGTGAAGAAATTTTCTCCATGGATTTTGTCACACTCGTGACCTCTTGACAATCATAAAAAATAAAAATATATAGATGTGTGGAGTACCATTTAGTTTTCAAATCGTTTTTCAGTTTTTAAAAGATGAAAACTAAGAAAAGCCTAACACCGATCTTAAGAATTCTAAGTAAAGGAGTTGATTACACAACCGGGGAAGACTATAGTTACCATAGTATGCCTTCGACACGAGGCTACCTTTTATTTCTAGTTTAGAAGAATTCATTCATGCAAATTACTTTTTCTATCTTGATTTATATATTCAATTATTTGGGTTTTTTCTAATCAATTCTAAATGAGATGATTTGAAAATTAAAAGAAGACTCAAACCTCTCACCTAATATATCATTGGGCCATTGGAGCTCATTTAGAAAGGTAAAAATTAGGGGTAAAAGCCCATGACACATTAAATCCCGGTCCCACAAAAGTACAAAAAAAAAAAAAATGAACATGGGTCCGGACCCAAATTCACCTACCAAACCATAAATTAAATAAATAAGTTTAAAGTTCGTAATAACTTAAAAATGGATAGGGAGCTCAAGCCCATATCACCCTGCCATGCCACTTTAAAATATTAAATTAGATCCAAGGCCAAATTAAGAGCTAAATCCATGATAAGAAAAAATTAGTTGTACCATAAAAAAAAAATTAAAATCAACTATAAATAATAGCAATAAAAATAAAATAAAATAACAAGAAAAGGATCCATCATTGAAACAAAGTCAATCCCGAGTCTTAAACCTAATCCATCTAGATCGACTCGGACTAACATCACATAAAATAAATACACAAAGTGCAAACCATAAAACATGTAAAAAAATAGTAAATTACATAAAAACGACTTCATGAAAAATTAAATAATTAGTAGGCCTCCATAAGGTCATTGGCACATAAATTCAAATTGAATTTTTTTGAATTTTTTTTTAAAATTGCTAGCTTATTGCTAGCTTCATCATTGATCGATAGTTTCTTAGGGATTTATTATATAAAAAATAAAGATACTATATAATATGTCAAACAACCTCTTTTTATTGAAAATAATGATAAAATAATAAAAATAAAACCAAAATAAGATAAGATCAAAACTAAAAAATAAAATAAAATTATCTAATCCACTATTCCTAATTTGGTTCAACATTAAAACACATCACACATCAAAAAAACCTAAATTTAGATTATTTTTTTTATTTTGTCACATATAACCCGATATTCAAGTTTTCAAATCTCTCAATTACACTCTTAGCCAAACGTTTTACATTTAATAATCATCCAAATATTCATTTTCAATCACATAATCGTCATTACCATCCTATGAAATAGAGAAGCAATTAGAAAGAATCATAAAATTTGGATAAAAATCAGATCAAAAAAATGAAAATGCGAGGGAGTGTTTACCTAAATTAGTAATTCAAGGACCAAGCTGGACTATGGGTAGCGACGGTAGAACTTCGAGAGATGCATGAGGGTTGATCCATCATCTGAATGGAGAGGCTCAAACGACGCAACGATCATCTTTAGTGGATGATTCAAGTGGTTTGATGCGTGTTGGTTGGAAGTCGATTGGTTAGGAGTGGCGGTGGCTTCTTTCGACTATTGCCTTTTGGTTCTTTTTAGGTTGATAGGATTTTTTTTTCTTTCTAGGTATTAGAATGTCTATGTGTATGGGTAAGGTAGGATCTATTTATAATGCTACCTAGGTTGATTTAGGGTTTTTTTTTTTTTTTCTATTTTAAAGGGATCGGGCTAGGCGACTCTACTAGAATTAACACGCTAAGGCTTAGGTATGACCCAAACTAAGTTCGGTTATCCAACCTATATATATATATATATATATATATATGTATGTATGTATGTATGTATGTATGTATGTATGTATGTATGTATGTGTGTGTGTGGATATTTTGTAGGGATAAAAATAAGATGATGACAACTATTTTCTCTTTATAATGTTTACACATCAAAGATGTAAGAAGATAAGTTTTTGAACATCTTGACTAAGTGAGCTTATAAAGAAGAGATATGATTGAAAAGAGATGAATTGATCCGTTATTAAAAGGTAAGCTCTTTGTAAATGGGTCATGATGACAAGATGACCTTCTAGCAAATGATTCACTATGACAGGATGACCTCTTAGCAACCGGTTTACTATGATAGGATGATCTCTTGACAACTTTGGAATTTGGTCATCATGACGGGATGACCACTTGAATTTTTTTTAAACTATTCATCTCGACATGGTGACCACCTAGATATTTTGTTTTTTGAAATTTGGTCATCTTGATAGGATGACTACCTAAATATTTTATTTTTTTTTGAAATTGGTCATCTCGATAGGGTGACCACTCGGATATTTTTTAAAAATTTGGTCATCTTGACGGGATGATCACTTGGATACTTTTGAAGCTCGATGAAGTGACCACTTAATTTTTTTTTGAGAACTTGTCTTATGATGAATAGCCTTAAAAGAAAAGGTTCATCATTCTCATGCTTGAGTTCTCTTTATTTATGGAAGTGACTAATCACGGGTTATGTGAGGATCGTACCTTTAAGAGAGTCTAGATCGCACATAGAAAAACTTAGCCCCTCGTCTCGAATTTATAGAATCAGCTCAAATCTTGTGTCTTGACTACTAGTTTATTAGAGATTCAAGAATGAATGTTGTTTTAGCTTGCTACTATTTTGCTTTACTTGTAAAAATATGATCTTCCTCTTATCATTAGGTTATACTACCACCATATTATAGTCATAGGCTTTGAATCATCTTCACGCCCCTTTGTTTATTATTGAATTCCAAACGAAAGTGTTTGTGTGCGTTCATTAAACGTTGACATATGTTGAACTCGTGTTTGTCCCTTAGATGTTTTCCAACTGGTCATGTCTTATATTCTTATACTATCTAGATTATATTTATTTCATCATCAAGGAATACTTAATGTCATGTTTTGGTTCATTTGCTCAACCATTATGCCATTGATCCGACTAATTTTGTGCTATTCACTTCGTTATTTGTTTCAGTTGGCTTTCCATAATGTCATTTGCATCTACATCAATTGTTTATCAAGAGTAACTTTATTGAGAAGTTATTTGCATTCACGATAAATATTTATTCCCTTATTTGATTAAAGTTTTCCCTTAGTGCTACGAAGATCCTTATTCATTTTATCCTTTATGACCTCGGTAAATTTATCTATCACAATGT